TCCACGCGATTCCATTGCTTCGGCCGACAACGAGATAGCGCGCAACGCTTAAACGAAAGATCACGTTACTTTATCGCTTTTGTAACGGGAAAGATTTATTTATTCTCGCGCTTTATAGCCGACCAAAGGGAACGACCTGCATGCATCGTGAAACGCATCGCAATGAGCTTACGTTAACGCTGAAATCTCTGCATGAAAAAATCCTTTTGGATCATTGCGTACGGTGGAAAATGTAAAAGGTCACATGCGTGTATGTGTCCGCTGTAACGATCAAACGGCTAAACTAATTAAGACAATCTGCACGCTTACTGCATCCATGCCAATTTGAGTTGATGATTAAAACGTTTGTTTTTTTTTTTTTTAATCAAAAATTGCGGATTTACCTCAGTTTTTTCACAGATTCGCAAAATTTTTTGTATAAAAAATTAATGTTCATATGGTCTTTAATAAAAAGAGAGGTCTTCAATAAAGAAATCATAAATCAAAAGTTCCCGTTACTGTCTTAATAATAAAGAGCGCAAGCGTGATAAACGCAATTGGTTTGGAATTGTTCGAAAATATGGTTTTAGAGATTGAGATACTTTATTAATAAATGACAAAAACATGGATTTCAGTGTCATACACAGCTGCCAACATCAACATCAATATCAATACCGATAGCAAGCTGACACTATAACGGCAAAGGTTATACGGGCCCGCAACATGTACTTGATCCATTTTTCACGAAAATTGCATTTAACACGAGTGAGCGTCGTTAAATTCTTGATATACGTTATATTGTGATAAAATAAACGTGATTGCTTTCGCGCATGTTTCATCAGAGGGAAATTAAATCACTTTTCATTATTTGTAAATAAAAGCGTGATTTAATAAAACTCGAAAGATGGGAAATTTTTCTGCGCTATACGCGCTCCGCAGGATTAATCCGCGGCATTTGTCACAGCCGTATCGCGCGGAACGGCTCGGCTTTTTGGTCGTATCAGCAATTACTGAACACCCCCATGCATCCCCCGATGAGCACTGGTTGCGCGCGTAAAAGATGCAGCGAATATATAACGTGTATAGCTATATGCACTCGGTCTATGCCACCAGCATTGTATAGCATGACTAATTATACTCGGGCCCGCGGCGGATCGCGTTTCGCGGCTTCACGAGAGGCGGAAAGCACCCTATTAAGCTTCGGCCACCCTCCGCGAGAGGAAGAAAACCGCGAGACGTCAATACGAGTAGTACGCCGGGCGCGGTAAGAAAAGGGCGGTAGGCATTCGTGCACCCTAATCCTCGAGCTTTCTACTTTGTTTCGCTGCCGCTTCTTCATTTCTCTTTCTTTGTCCGGGCGGGTGGCCTAGCCTACTCTCAACACCCACCCTTCAAGGACGTCGAGCAGTGTGCGCACGCGCATCTGTTCAACACTTGGCACTTTTTTTCGAGACTAGTGAAAAAAATATTTCACATTTATAATTGCTACCTTTTAATTAACGAATTATTGGAATAAAGATTAAATAATAAAATTGCGCACTGATTTCGATATTGTTAAAGTTGCGACAATTAATCGAAATAAATGTTGGTTAAATTGTGAGGCTAAGGAAGCGATAAGGAAGACATAGGACTTGTGCGAAGTTAGAACGCCAGTAATTATGCTTTGAATCTTTTAATTATTTATTTAAACAAATCCCAACATTCCAAACATTGATAGATGTATATATGTGTGGGTGTGCTTTCTATGGACATAATATAGATTGTGGCCGCATGTCTATTTGCATTTAACTATTTATCTTATGTCCATAGTATCCTCCTTTTTCGTTAATTCTGTATGACCCACTGTTATAGAAGTATCGCCGTTCCTTTCATTCGCGAATTCTTTGCGACTTAAATTACAGTCAACTCTGCTTTACAAAATACTTGATTGAAGATCTTCTCAGATCTTTCTTGCAACTTTCTAAATATACTAAGAAAGACAGGGAATTTTTTTTTATTTTCTTTGCCATTAATAGTTTCGCTAATTAGCATCTCAGTTCACAAAATAGTCATCCATTTTCCAATTTACAACTCAAAGGTTATTTAAATCACAACTTTCGTATCGAGAAAAGAAATCGATCCGCGATTAATTGAGGAATTTACAAACGAAAGGAACGGCGACGGTAAAGAACTTTAACGAGGCTCAATCACCTTGGCCGCGCAGATGACAATGAAACTTAACCCTCTCCACGAGTTTACGATGCAAATGAAGCTAATTTAACGATCGTATTCAAATTCGACGAACAACTGTTTGTTATCGTAGCGCTTCGCGGATCAATCGAACAGTTCCCCGAATTTACAGCGCGTCACGATGCTCACCCAATTATTTTTGGCGACACACACTTAACATTATCAACACCCTCCGCCGGTAGGCGATCGCGCACGCGAGTGCAATCGAATTAATTACGGCAAGTTTCCCTCGTGACTAGATTAATTAGTAGTTCAGATTATTTACGATGGCCCCTCGCGCGCGATTTCTCTCTCTCTCTCTCACTTGCTCGAAAAGTCTTACGGTCGAAGGGGTGCTTAAGACGACAGCCTTTCTACCTGATGCTCTTGCGACGGACATATTTCTCGAAATATTCAAGTCGCACAGGCACGATTCAATTCTTTTTCGTTTACATTCCGTCAAGAAGTGTTGTGCGTTCTGTGGATGGGTATATATACACCGGCGACCACGAGTGCCTTAACGTATAAAGTTTTGAAAAATTCAAAGTGTTGCGCATTGTTTCTAAATATTTGCGCATTATGACTGTTGGACAAAAATCCAAAAACTATATATTTTTATTGATTGACTTATGTATTATGTGAGCTGTTATTCGTCTGCTAATCCTTCACGTCTATTAAATACTTAAAAATGTATAACCATCGGACACAACTCTAAGACATGACGCGCAAAAATTTTGACATGACGCGCTCGATCTCCAAATTCTCCAAAATTGGTGTAAGGCGTTTTTGGTCGCCGGCGAACGAGACGAACTAAAATCAAAATTTTCTCCGTCTAAAAATTTCATATCTTTTGTTTCATATACAAAATTTCCACACTTTACTTACTTGTTGCATTTTAATAACAAATTATTTCAGAGAAATTTTAAATCCAACATCCAATATCACCCTGGAAGTACATTTTATAGACTGGGTTAATTTTGATTTCATTTTTTTTTTTGCCTCTTTTACACCGCCTTATGATAAACTATTTTAATAATTGGTGTACGAAGACCTCTTGACAGTAATACTGTTTCTGCAGATTCAATTAAATTCGGAACATGAATAATGCGTATTTTAGTAGCCGATTCGACAAGTCTAAGCACCCCGTAAAACAACAAATTAGAATGGACCCGGATACTTTTCGCCTTTCAAATATCATATTCCAATATTGCATAAAATTTACAATGTACAGGTGACTCTCAAGGAGACCAAAGTCTTTAGTCTGTGTTTCGTTATAATTAAAAGCCAAATTTAAATAGCAATTTTAAAAAAAAGTGCATTATAATTGCATAGAAAATTCATCAAAAATAAAGATATCTTTAAACAGAGCAGCAAACAAAAGCTTTAAGCGTTCAGCAAGTAAAAAGCTTTAATCGATCGCAAGAAAGCAAGTTTGTGCTGCTAATAATAATTTATGCACAGATCAATCTCCAATTGGTCGAAAGTAGAAACTCTCTAAACGCTTTTCTTTTACAACCGTCGTCAAAAAGTTGCGGTAAATTTATAACTTTTTGAAATGCTGCAACTCTATCCCCTCGAGGGATAACTATTAAAGTCAGACGAAACTCGTGCCGCGATACTTTCTGATAAATGTATACATCATAAATATGTTTTGAGCGTATAACATAGATATGCGGTCTTCTTCAATGAAACATCAAAACTTGGCGCAATTTTTCCAACGAATGCAATTCTACGCTGTTACGGCGAAAATTCGTGAAACACCGAGAGTCACCTGTCCTCTTAAATACTCCCCGCCGTTAATCCATTTAGCCCTACCTCGTTTCGTACTCTAATTCCTCGCACAGAGTCTCACACACGCCCAATTACACTAACGAAAGCCGCCATTTCGCAAAGTTTTTCCGCAAAACCTCCGTTTCCCCCAATCAGCTTCTCTCTCCTAGTCCATCTCTTTCGTCTCTATTATCCTCCGTCTCGCGCACATTTCTCACGGACATACATATCAATAGCTAATCATCCTCATTGTTTTACGAATCTAAAAGTCGAAGCCCAAGCTACCAATTCCTCGATTAATTCCATTTAGTGTTGTGGCAGTGTCGGGCCGAGTTAGCCCGAACACCATGACGGATACCGTATATGCCAGCCGCGAGATGTCTTTTGCATTCTTTTTATTCCTGAGATCACGTCAATCCCCTATTTTTTTTGCGACAGCGCGCCGCAGCGATTATCGGACCCGGCTGACAAGTCCGATGAACAAAACGTCGATCAAATCCGTGAACTTTTCAGTCTCAAACCACTGCCGTCCCTAATGGACGGAGATTCACGTCTCGGGATACAAAGGGACCACTGCGAACCTCCCTGTCTGTCTTTTTACGGCATTCGCGTTCACGGAATCGCAAACCGAAAGACTCGGTATGAAACTCGTCGAAATAAATCGCACTTCTGACTCGTTCGCGGGCACACGACACACACTGTACAACTCCGTTCTCAGAGCGAATAAAAATTATGTTTCACTTTCTTCGATGCTTCCTTTCATCGACGCCACGCGCACGCCGGCGTCACTCCTAGCGAAGATCACTCGAATAACAAGATCGCAAGCTTGAACGAACTTCTTAGCGTCAATAGTCCGGAAATAGATTCCAAGAACGATATCGAGTGGAGAGAATTCTTCAGCACAATCATCAAGCGCAAAGAGTCGGATTTTTTTTTTTTTTTT